CTCTGGTAGCCTAAGGTGATATGGCGCCTTCGTAATCGGGGCGGAACCAGAGAACAAATCGATCCAGTACTCGACCTGCCTCTCAGGCGGCATGCCAGGAAATTCCTCCAGGAAAACATCGGGAAACTCCCTCACGATAGGGACATCAAAAACTGACTTCACTCTCTCAACCCACGTGTCTACCACGTATGCAAGATATTCCATACATCCATGTTGAACGCACTGTCTGGCCCTGGCGGAGGAACAAATGGTTGATCCAAACCTAGTACCCTCACCATAGATGGTCAAAACTACCCCCACTAGGGTCGTTAATCATCACTAACTGATTCTTGCGGTCAATCAGTTCCCCAAACCGGATTAGCCAATCCATACCCGCAATCACACAGATAGCTCCCAACGCAATGGGAATAAGATCAATCAGAAATCCAATACCAAAAATCTCCAATATACAATATCGGTAAACCTCGGTCACTGAAACCATGCGATCATCAACTATATCGACCTTCAAAGGTCAAGCTAGGGCCTCACGAGCAACATTGAAACCTCTATAGAAAGATGTAAATACAAAAGACCAAATCGCACCCGAGTCAAATAACGCCAAGGTAGGTACAGAATTCACAAGAAAGGTACTTAATAGAATTACATTATAAGCATAAACAATAAAATAATTTAGTAGGAATATGAAACAGATACATAAAAATGATAACATTGGGTGCTGCTCTGGCCTCCTCGACAGTCAACTAGAAAGCTCGACCCCTTGCCTTCGGGGCCTCAACCTTACCCTGACGCACACTAGTGATGCGCAGGGTCGCATGAACCGGAGTCTGAACCGGCTTCGCTGCAAGAAGCGAACTTTTGGCCTTTTCATGGCCTACCTAGTTGTAGCTGAAACAAACTTGCAAATCCTTTGGGTACTCCTTCGCAAAGTGCCATTCATTGCCACATAAGTAGCATACCGATCCCGATCAATAGGGACCATCATGAACCTTGTCGCACTTACCGTAAGTTCGGCTCCTCTGACCTCCTGCTCTCAAATCAGTGGGCTTTACCCGCTTAGTCGCCTACTGTGACTGGATTTGTATCATATCCTTCCTATGAGTATATATCCTTGTCTCCCTCTCCTGCAACTCCAACTCAATCTCCCTTCTCTTGGCATTGGACTGCAACTCATTCAATGTCCGGTATTGGGTGTTCATCACAAAATCTATGATATCCTTCATAGATGCATAATCTGTACAAAACAAAGTTCTCTCATGGAACATCTTGGTGATATCAGTCATCGTCTCTATCGTCTGCCGGAGAGACAAGTACTCCTAATCGAATCGCTCCTACTCTACCAAAGGAACATACTCCACTTGAAACATCTTAACAAACCAGTCCCAGGTCATTGCGGCCTTCTCCGCAAGTCATAAATCAACAGTCACGAAATTCCACCAGTCCTTCGCTCCTAAGAGAAGTAGGTTTAGCGCAAAGCGAGCCCTTAAATCATCCAGATAAGCGCAGACATAAACGCATCCCTCAACATCAATGATCCACCTTATCGCACTAATTGGATCCTGAACTCTATCGAACTCCGAGGTCTTTGTGTTGTTGAACTCTCGATACTGCATCGAATCACCCTGTGGGATGTCACACGGCAACTGCGATGGCTGCAACAGCAGCAGCCTCGGTGACAGCAATGTAGCACTCGTCAAACATCTCTATCATCACGGCCTTGATAGACCCAAATACCTTCAGGATAGCCTCCCTAATTGTTGTTACCACCTTCACAACCATGATCCTACATATCTCATCATCACTGACACCCTGCCTCTCCGGGCCGCTAGAGCCTGAACCTCGGGAAAACACATACTGAAGTACACAAGGAAAAACATCAAAACTAGACTAAAAGCACGGCAAGCATATCATCCACTCAACTCCTTGGTACCCTTGGGACTCTTTCTAAACTACATACGGATCCTATGTTTTCAGTAGTATGGCCCATACTACCTTCCATACCTATCTGTAGTTGATTCAGATTCCCTCCCGAGGTCCCTAGATACAAACACCCTACTTACAAGGAAACAGTACACATACACGTAGGTGTTCGAAGACCCACAAATAAACCTCTAGATACACATCTTAGGTTCCTGATCAGCTACTACTTCGATCCGAAAGAAGTCTCCGCCAACCTTGCCAATGGCTCTGTGTAATCACTAGTACAAAAAAGGGCTTCCGTCACACGACAAATGAGTAATTGTATGCATACAACCACACATTCGTTTTCACTACATGTGTGACCAAAGGTCGAGTAACATAAAGTACAAATGGTCGCATTAGCGAGTTAGTGGTCGTATCCATTTATAAAAAAAGTGGCGAAGGGCATAAAATGAGAGACCAAATGGTTTTAAAAGTCATGAAAAAGTGTATTTTGAGTGACGTTATTCCATCTAATTTCCACATGAATATGATGTTTGTGTAGCCTTATGTATATTTGGTGACTCAACCATTGTTCTTTTTGGGGGATTTTTTTCACTTACAATTAAGCAATGAGTGGCCTAAGGTGTAAAAAATAGTGGTCAGATGTATTAATAATCTTGAAAACCTGTATTTTGAGTGATGTTAGTCCATCTAACTGCCACATGAATATGATGTTTGTGTAGCCTTTTGTATATTTGGTGACACAACCATTGGTTTTTTTTTTGGGGGGGGGGGGGGTTGTCACTTACAATTAAGTAATGAGTGGCCTCATGTGTTAACAAGAGTGGCCAAATGTATTAATAATCTTGAAAAAGTGTATTTTGAGTGATGTTAGCCCATCCAATTCCCACATGAATATGATGTTTGTGTAGTCTTTTGTATAGTTGGTGACACAACCATTGTTTTTTTGGGGGATTTTGTCACTTACAATTAATCAATGAGTGGCCTAAGGTGTTGAAAAGAGTGACTATATAGTTTTTAAAGTCAAGTAAATGTATATGTTTGTGTAGTCTTTTGTATATTTGGTGACACAACGATTGTGCCGCGTTTGGTATATTTAGTCACTCTAAAAAATCCATTATTTGTGTGACAATAATGATTATATATATATATATATATATATATATATATATATATATATATATATATATATATATAGTCCATCCACTCGCCACATAAATATGATGTTTATGTAGCATTTTGTATATTTGGTGACACAACTATTGATTTTTTGGCGGATTTCGTCACTTACAATTAAACAATGAGTGGCCTAAGGTGTTAAAAAGAGTGATTATATGGTTTTTAAAGTCAGTTTAATGTGTAGCCTTTTGTATATGATATTTGCATATTTAGCCATATATTTAGTATAGATTTTTATCAATTATTAGCTAATTATTTGCATATTATGGACAAAAGGTACTTAATAATGTTTGAATTGTATTTTCAGTCCAGAAGTCATGCTCGGGAACAAAAAGGAGGAAGGAGATGCAATTAGAAGCTGCAGAATGAAGAAAGGAGTACAAACCTGAAGCTACTCGGCGAGTACAATCGTCTACTCGACGAGTTTCCACGAAGATTCGCGAAGCAATAAGTAGAGTCCTTGCCGTACACGGATTTTACAAAGAAACTCGGCTAGTTGGTTATCTACTCGCCGAGTTGCCCCTGTTTTGAGGATCTTATAAATAGAGGTCGAATTCCGAATCCACGATCTCTTCTGGCTTTTCTAGAGAATACTTTGCGACTAAGGAAACCCTTGGAGACCTGGAGAACGTGAGAAGAACCCTAATCTCTCATTCTTAGAAGATTCAAGGCAACTTAGGTTTAATTTTCCACTTTATCTTTGAATTGAACAATGTTTGAGTTGATTACTTTCGTTTTTAGCCTTTTGACTACTGTAATCATGAGCTAAATTTACTAGTTTCTGTTTAGGGAAGACAATTTTACTCTTATGGATTAATTTTATGGTTTGATTAATTGTTAATTGGTGATTTTGTTAAATTAAGCTTCTTAAAGATCCTTATGCATTAACCATAACTATTCTCTGTTAATAGGAAGGCAATCAGGCTGCATGAACATCTCTTAATTGTTTACCTCATATGATTTATGTGAACACTTTGTTATGTGCCTAGGACTAATGAATATGAAACTAGGGTTAACTAGAGAGTGGGTAAATTAATGTGTGAGCTTGTTGATAAACCAACAACAAGAGGCTAATTGAATTAGTAATTTGATTAACCAATTACAAGTCTTATTTAATCCGAATAATTGAACTAGGGAATTAATTAGCTTAAACACTTGATCACTGCTTAAATTAATTAATTTTCTAAGGATTGGTAATAGCGAATGTGAATCTAATCACTTTAGTCGGTAACCAATAACAATTAATCTATTGTTTTGCCATAAAATTAACCATAGGAGTGAATAAGTTGAACCTAAGCAGAAATCTTTTATCAAATTTGGTGAGTTTTTACTTGGTTTTAGTTGATTAGTTAATTGCGTGTTAGTTAGTGTGTCTAAGTTTCTAGTCTTGTAAAACTAGAGAAAACCCTTTTACTTTTATTACTTGTTGGTTAAAATTAGTTATTAGGTTAATTTCCGTTCCTCGAGTTCGACACCCTACTTATTCAACTATACCACTAAAAGACAGGTTCACTGTCTTTGTGTGTCTAAATTATATTTTTAGAGTAGGAATAAAACAAGTTGGTTTTACACACATCAGTATATTTGGTGACACAACGATTGTGTGGTGTTTGGTATATATAATCACTCTAAAAAAATCCATTATTTGTGTGACAAATATGATTTTAAATATTAAATATATATATATATATATATATATATATATATATATATATATATATATATATACACGTTTATTTATTTATTTATTTATATAAAACAAATCAAAAGGAAAAACATAAACCCAACAAAATTGGAATAATTTAAATAATTAATTAATTCAAAAGTAAAATTGTAATTTCTTAGAAATTAAATAAAATCCTAAATTAACATATCAAAAAGATCTATATAACATTTAATAATCATAACTGTAAATTCTTTTGAATCTTCTTATTGGGCATGGCTTGTTTTAGCACCGAAGCAGAACTGACAAATTTGCGTTTAATTGGTAATTTAGGTCCAGTTGTTTTCTCACTATCCTTTGGTATGGTAGATGGTGGTGTTACCTATGTGAAATTAGAGACCAACGTATCAAACAAAAAATAAATCATGAAGGATTATAATATAGAAGTAGGTTGATAAAACATAAACATATGTGTACCTTTTCTTGATTAATTAAAACGACATGATCCTTTGGTCATGCCATAAAACAACCTACTACATCCTTAACGGTTTTGAAAGTTATTTCCTATGTTCGGTATGCATGGTGTATCCACCAACTATTCTTGAATTGACACTTTATAGCAGGTTTTTGGGAGTGGTTTGTGATGAAGCATTTGGTTTCCATCTGTGATGTATACCTTACCAACAGCAATCATTTGTGTTATAATGTTGTGCCATAGTTTACACATCATATCCTATCAAATAACCAAAATTGGCATATATGCATCAGAAAGGAATCAAAGTAAACAATATATGAACATGTTGATGGATGTACATACTTTTGACGTTACTATTGGAGACACATTCTGTTGCAATTGGACTCTGAACTTGGAGACGTGTTTTATTGTTGTTCCAGTGTATTTATACCCATTACAGACTTTTGAATTTCCTATGTATATAAAAAATACGTGAAACAAGTTACGTATATATTGAAACTTCCTATGACAGGTAGAAATAATTAATTAAAAGCATGTAATTAAAAAGTTTTAATACTTACCAATAATGTTACATATCCATTTGAATCTAAGTTCACCCCTTGGGCAACTAATTGACTCACCAAAAGAGAAACCAATCCCTATGTTTGTGCCATCTTGGCGTTCAAGTCCTTGATTTATTTGTCTTTAGCTTCACACTCCCAGCTATCTTTCTCTTCACGTTCACGTCTCTCGTTTTCACGCTCCCGTCTCTTAATTTCAACTTGACGTTCAAGTAATGCAACTCTTAAGTCTGGTGATTTAGTTCCAGGAAGATCAAAATACATGTTGTATGTCACTCAACTTCCCACTCCTCTTGCATAACCTCCCTTGTCCTTTCCAAACACAAGTGTCATGACATCAGTGATATGGTCAACCTGTAAAGTCCCATATTTGATCTAGTCGTCAGTTGTTTTCTACACAAAGTAAGGAAATATTTAATTAATTACATATAAATTAAACATCGTTCAAATCAAAACAAAATTTGTAGTCAAACTTACTAGTTTATCTCTAAGCTTGTCATTTTTAAAAATTCCATCTGTGTTTATCCTTCCCTTCAACCACATCATACAACGAGGGGGTTCTTCATTTGGTTCGATTTCTTGGCTTCGATATTATAATCATTAAACAGATAATTAATAAATTTAAACCAACATAAAACAAAGTGTGCTGCTATTAACAAAAAAGAACCACTTTTGTTACATCTTGTCTTTCACACGTATGTATCCACTTCTTCCCATCGTATGGTTAGGAACAGACTTCTCACGCCTTTTTTTTGCTTCTGACTTCACCTAACCAGATTGGAAAATCAAAAATACAATGTTTACACGCCAACACAATATCATGAAATATATAGGGACTGAAAATAATCAAATCCATAGAAATGACTTAAACCTTGTATGCGTTAGAGTTTGTATGTGTTACAAAAGTGGCCCAGTGTGAGTCCTCAACAATTGTTGTATACTTTTGCAGGGAATGACTTAAACCTTGTATGCATCATAGAAATGACTTAAACCTTGTATGCGTTAGAGTTTGTATGTTGTAGGTGTTTCATTGTCAGGAAATATGTATCTTTCTCGACGTTTCCTTCAGTAATTCTTCAGAAGTTGACCAAGACGATGCATTATTGAATTTATGAATGTGTTGTCAAGATCAAAATATCGCTGCAAAATGTAACACAATGTTGTTAATAGTTGCACATAATGTAAATGCATATATGCATAATGTTAAATAATGTGTTCAATATCGTGATTTCACTCCATAAGTCGTCTCTTTCTGGTAACTCCACTTTCTTTGCAAGATAGAACTTTTAAACCTATACGCTCACGAACTAGGTCTCCCAAAAAACTAGCAAACACTACTCGGTTTGTCCCTGATATCCTACCCATGCCATCAATTATGAGATGGATCTTTACTCCTTTACTATACTCACTGCGAAACTTATGTAGCCCGATTATGCCTCTCCTAACTACATTTTTCGCCACTATGTCGTCGTTTCTAGCCTCATCTTCAACTTCCTCCTCTGAGTTATAGTTCAGATCCTTGTATGTTGTAATCTTTGCATTATCGGCCAAAGGTTCCATGATTATTGACAAGATATATTAGTAAAACAAAATAAGACTCTTTGGTTAGGATTTTAGGAAAGGATCGAATATCTAGTAATGGTGTAAAAAGCTTCTGACAAAATCTCATTTCAGAAGAAATAATAAGTAGGTTCATGGTTGGCATGGTGTGCTGAATTCAAAGTTTTCGTTGAAAAAACTTGAAACTTTGGTTAACGCCTGCTAATTTGGAGAGTGTTCTTGGATTTTTGGCGTAGAAAGTGAAGAAATTTGAATTTTTGATCGCCGACTGATGATACAATAGGTTTAGGATCGTAAAATAAGGAAACTGAAACGCCAATTAGTGTTGAATTCAAAATTTTCGTCCAAATTTTGGCTACAATGCATAATTAACAATTACCGTTTTTAAAAATATTAACATTGTAATATATAATTAATAGATGTACATTTAAAAAGATATAATAAATTTTATGAAATATTTACATTTTGTAAAGCTATAATTAATATAAAAATATATAAAAAATGTGAAATCATAAACCCTAATAAACCCTAAATTAACACTAAACCCTAAGCCGTAAACTGTAAACCCCCATTCATGAGTACGGGGAGGCACTATCGGCCGACAAGCCATGTGAAGTTTCTTTGGAACTGTGGGAGCAAACACATTTGTGTGTCTTATTAAATATAGATGAAAGTAGTCAATACCAATTATTATAGATGATAAGACCCCTTGATGACGTATGGGTCATGGGCCATGTTAAAACCCATTGATGATGTATGGGTCGTGGGTCATGTGGTAGTTGCTTATAGTGTCATGGTAAGACCCATGGATGACATATTGGTCATTAGTGTCCTGGTAAGACCAATGGATGACATATGGGTCATGGGTCATGTTCATTTGGCGGTAGTAGCGTATAGTGCCATGTTAAGACCAATGCATGACATATGGGTCATGGGTCATGTATATTGGGTTATAGTGTCATGTTACGACCAATAGATGACATATATGGGTCATGGGTCATGTGCATTGGGTGGTAGTGGCTTATAGTGTCATGTTAATACCAATGGATAACATATGGGTCATGGGTCATGTTCATTGGGTTATAGTGTCAAGTTACGACCAATAGATGACATATATGGGTCATGGGTCATGTACAATTGGTGGTAGTAGCTTATAGTGTCATATTAAGACCAATGGATGACATATGGGCCATGGTTCATGTGCATTGGGTTATAGTGTCATGTTACAACCAATAGATGACATATATCATCAATTACATGATTAAAATGATAAATTAGAAATGTAACAAGCTTAGTAAATATATTAGATCTTAATTTATATTTTAATATTTCACCATTTTAATATTTAGACTTTGTTATCTCATTATTATTTTTTAATATAAAACTAGTTGTTTTTATTCAATATATTTTCTTCTAACATTAGATTAGTTACTTTGATGTTGTTAAAATCTAATTCAATTTTTATTCTCTGTTGTTCTACATTTTTATTCCAATCTTGTATAATTTGTTATTATGTTTCATATTACAACCATATATAGATTAACAATTTAAAAAAACAAACATGAAATTGATAAAGATAAATATAAATCCAAATATAGTTTGAGTTGATTTGTTTTGACAAAAAAAACCCTTTGTAATCCAACATTAATCAATGTATTTACAAGGGCAATTAGGCCATTCTGTCATTAATTAATGGGTTCTCGATACGGTATATATAATTGTACTGGTTGTGTACTCAAAAATGTAATTTTTTTTAATAATTTGTTTTGACAAAACTACCCTTAGTAATCACATATTTGGAATTATTTCAAGGGTAATTTGGTCTTTTTGCACTCTACATCTTTTAGGCGACATGTTGTTTCTGACGCCATCATGTCGTTTCAGTTCTTCAGGCCCTTCCGAACATTTGAAATCTTCCCGAATATCAAACTGTCGACTATCACAGAAAACTCCAAAATCCTCGATAGAGAATCTCTCTCAAAATCGATTTTCCCCAAAGTTATTGAAACTGGTACTTAGTCCACGATCAATTCATCAAAGGAATGTTTTTTTCTTACCATGTTACATCGTATTTCACATTTACGCCTATTTTTTCTTAAAAATTGATATCAACTTATGCAATGTGTATTTTGTAAGTAGAATGTCGAATACAAGATGTTGTACTTTGTTGGATGATATATCAGTAGAGATTTTGACACTGATTATTATAATGTTAGGGTCATAATCTGCAAAAGCCGTCATATCTACAAGAATTTGGTAATTCTCAATAACCATTAACTTATGAGTATATATTTGATGAAATATAACTTGATTTGTTAGTTATTAACTGTATATATCAATTTCTGAAGTTTAAAAAAGATGTATGTAACGGGGGAAGAACGTGAAGTGTTCAAACAAGCATCCCTCTCCATGTTTGAAGGGATGGGTCCAAAAGATCTTAAGGATGATGTATTTATACACAAATGTGCAGCGCATAAAAATGTTGAAGTTATGTATAGACAGGGAGTGTTATGTGTAATTTGATTTAATTTATTATTAGTGTCATTAGTCTTAATATTGGTGTTGTTTTTATCTGTTAACATGAGGAGTGCTTCTCTAAGGGCAATTTTGATTTGGGAATGAGTTTGCTGGGTGATGCAGGATATAAGGATCATCTCGAGGCAATTTATTTGCTTGGGATGATCTGCATATCAAGAGGGCGTCCAAAGTGTGATGAAGGTATTTATTGTTACATTATATTATCTATATAGTTAATTAATACATGTTTATACGTTGTGCAATGTATTGGCCACATAAATCTTTAATTTGAGTATTAATGTCAACGACTAGATATTAGAATATTTAGTGTTATGTTGTATAATTTGCAATACTTATTGAAATTGATACATCAGATTGATAGTTTTTTTAATGTGTACTTTTAGGTAAACAATTACTTGATGCGAACTTTGTTTGGTGTTGTCTGGAAGCTGGAGAGTACACAGTTTATACTGAGAGTGCCTTGGAATTATTGAGGAGTATAGATGTTGATCATAAACTTACAACAGATAACATCACATTCCAATGTGAAGAGGAAGGTCATTCCATTGAAGATGCATTTTTGGAAGGAATAGATGAGGATGAGAAGCCACAGAGGTATTGCAAGGTGTGTCGTTGGTACGTAGAGTATGGTTAACTTTGTAGGTTTATTCGGAAATTGGTTGATAATTGATATTAATATTTTGTAAATGTTGTGAATACTCTTTGGATTGTACATATATATTTGTAAATGGATGCATATATATATATATATATATATATATATATATATATATATATCTTTTAGAAGACAAAAAGAGAAATGGTTTTAATTATTACGTATTAATGACTTTCAATATTGTTTATATTATGTTAGTTAAATTTAATTGGTGTGCTATAATTATCAATTCGGTCATATATGTTAATTTAGTGTAGGTTACTTTATTGACAATGGGTGTATTTTGTATACATTTTTACTTTGTTTAGGTTATTATTTTGTTAATAACTATAACAAAGTTTCTATGTTTGTTATGACCTATAATTATGTATATAATTTCGTTAATAATTTCATGTATGTTGTTGTATTTAACGTTTTCAAATATTGAATAATATCGACCAAATATTTTGACCTAGTATCCATCCACCACATCGAAAACACAACCAAGGGTTGTCGGAGGTTCCCTCATACACTCTTTCTTTGACCTAGTATCCATTCTACAAATATTCTACGTCATTATCAAATCATCAAAGTGATTCATCAGAACTATTGTATCGAAGAAAAAATCTAAGTGATCCATTTTTGTTACTTATTATTGATGCAAAAGTTTCAACAATTGTATAGATTGATAATTTGTAACTTTGTATGTCATCCATACTTTATAGTACATTGTCAATTATTGTAGTACATTAACCTTGCTACCACATATATAATTGCATTCCATGTCATAACATCGCTTTTACATTATCCTTTAGTAATAGTGTTTGACAATATGTTTGACCATACCATTTCTGCGAAAGTTCACTGCATATAGTATATATAATATAAGGTCAAAATCACCTTATTTTCAAAAAACATGCTGAAAGTCATATTCGATTGATGTTTTTACTCATGGATCATTTGTGATATGGTGTGGCTATTCGATTGTTGTTTTTACACAAACATCGTTTATGATTTGTTGTTTTTACTCATGGACCATTTGTTTAAAGTAGAATGCCATTACATGATAGACTTGTGACACTTGCCATTTAAAAAGTGGCCAATTAATATTGTATCTAAGTAAAACAAATTACTGTGACAGAAGTATATTAGACTAGAAAGGTTATCACTCCACCAAAAATGATTTAATAATAATAACAAACATTTGTTTTTTATGGAACTTATATGTAGATAAGGTTAAATTATTAGGATAATATATCAATTAAATTTAAATAGCAATATCAGATTTATTTTGATACACTTAGATCATGTGTGACAAACCAGACTTTATGATTTACAAGCATAAACAGTAACAAATATATTGTCTCATGATTTACAAACAATAACACTCAATGTGACTAATATCAAACTTAATGATTAACCGTTTTTGCCCATTTTTGCTCTAAATAATAGCTACATGAATATTTCGCGACGTGACTAATAAAAATCATTTAGATACACATTTGTGATATGGTGTGGCTATTCGAAATCAATACAGTCACTTTGAAAAAAAAACATGTGACTATACATATAAAAAATTACAAATATATTGTCTCTTGATTTACAAACAATAACACTCAATGTGACTAATATCAAACTTAATGATTAACACTTTTTCATCATTTTTTCTCTAAAGAATAGCTACATGAATATTTTGCCATGTGACTAATAAAAAGCATTCGATACACATTTATGATATGGTGTGGTTATTCAAAATCCATACAGCACTTTGAAATAATAAGTGACTATACACATAAATGGTAGGCAAGTTATAACACACGTTCAGTTT